AGCGCTGGTGCAGGGAGAGCAAGGTGGCCAGACGGCGGGGTCCCCGCACCCCGTGGAGGATGGCTGACCCCAGGGTGAGTGGAAGGCCTTGCGGCCCGATGGCTGGCTCACACCCCAAGCAGGAAAGGGGGGGATTTTCCCTCCGGAGTCGGCCTGTTAAGCCCGAGCGTAGATGAGACCTTCCCCGGGTTGTGCTCCAGCTTTTGGGGTTTCTGTGTGGATGTCCTCGTGGTGCGGTGCGCTGACAGCTGCGGATGGAGACCGGAAAGGAGGCTGCAAGCCCGGCTCCAGGTAAGTGACCCTGCAGGTGAGGCCTGCTGGCCTCTGCACCGAGGCCTCTGGGTTTCACAACTTTGACTCCTTTTCTGCTGGTTTGTTCTTGGCTTGGTGTATGGTGTTTCTGAAAGGTCAACATTTTGGGGGGTTTGGGGGGCTTCCTTTCATGCTTTTAAAAGTCCTGCCCGCCGCCACCCTGATACGTTCTCTTATATTTTGTTGCAATGTTTTATTTTGCGCCAATGCGCCCTGGGGATGTATTTGGTATAAGCAGGTAAGGCAGGAGTCAAGCTTTGGGTTTTTTTTTGTTTTTTTCCCCCCTAAATGGAAATCCACTTGCGCCAGCTTCATTTATTAAGTGAACTACCTTGGTCGCTCTATTTGATGTTGGACCTGTTGGGTTTAAGATGTCCCCTAGACCTGCCAATGGAGACATCCTGTTATTAGCTGGACAGGCGATTCCAACGTGAGGGGTGAGATTCTAGCTGAAACTAGAATTTTGGGCACTATGAGCATCTAGATGGGTCAATCTCCTATTTTTCTTTTAAAAATGCTTTTCCAGGCTATTCTTAGAATTTATTCTTTCACATGAAATTTAAAATCACTTTATTCAGTTCTCTCCCATTCTTGCCCAAACCAAAAATTCTATTGGGATTTAAATAATTGCATTAAATTTAGATGTAAGTTTTGGGAGTGTTGACATATTTATGATCCTAAAGCTCCCCAGACGATAAAAATGGTTTCCATTTGTTAGACTTCTTTTAGATCCTCCAATAAGATTTTATAATTTCTTTATATGGGTTATATAATTTTCTTATTAAACTTACTCCTATTTTATGGTTTTATTGTGAATGGGATATTTTTTCCATCTCTATTCCTGATTGTTAATACAGAAAAAGCTAATGATTTAATATAATCTACTTTTCTATCTTATGAACTCTGATAGGTTTAAAAATAAACCTGTGTTTTGTAGGTACAGCCTGCCTGTTTGCCAGTATACCAATTTAATTGCTAGCTTGCTGGCAATTAAACAATTAGCCCTGTCTTGTTCCTGAGGTGGATTGAAAGCCATGTGTGTTGTGGATGGAAATCACCTGTTAACAGCTGAGGAGGCTGTCCGCTGTTGGTTTTGGCAAATGGCCTTTAAAGTGTGGAAGTAGTTTTCTTCTGTTTTTTAAATTTTATTTTTCAATTACAGTTGACATTCAATATTATTTTATATTAGCTTCCTGTGTACAGCATACTGATGAGACATTTATATAATTTGTGAAGCGATCCCTCGGTAAATTTAGTACCCACCTGGTACCACACATAATTATTACAATGTTATTGACTATATTCCCTGTGCTGTATATTCCCTGTGACTGTTTGTAACTACCAATTTATACTTCTTAATCCTTTCACCTCTTGCACCCAGTCTTCCAACCCCCCTCCCCTCTGGCAACCTTTAGTTTGTTCACTGTATCAGTTTGTTTCTGTTATTTTTTTCTTTAGATTCAACATATAGGTGAAGTTATATGGTATTTTTTTTTTTGTCTGTCTGACTTATTTCACTTAGCCTACGACCTTCTATGTCCATCCATGTCTTAAATGGTACGATTTCATTCTTTTCTTTATGGCTGAGTAATATTCCATTGTACATATGTGCCATCTCTCCTTCATGCAGGTAAACATCGTTAGGTTTGAGGGTTTGATAGTTTCTGTAAGATTGGTTATTTCTTGGTAAGCAGTGTCTGGAGTTTTGTGTGCATTTGTGTGAGGGAAGATTTTTCACTGATTTAAATT